ATGGGCAGCATCTGCCTTGGCGTCGGATCTGCTTAGATATGCACTGTATGGCGTTCGAGGGCCAAACTCGGGGAGAACGTCTTGAGCAGCAATGTGCTTTGACATGGGTGAGGATGCTGATTCACTTTTTGGACTCTGTCAAGTCGTAGCGGCGGATCTGTGAAAAGCACTAGAAAGCATCGGCCGTGGTTATGGATACTATTATCGGTCGGTGCTGAACTATGTTCGAGAGGGCGGATCGAAATAATGAGAGTATGATGACGAGGAAGATGAGGAGAAAACGATACGACATTGACAATGAGTGACTGTGGGCTTCCTGGCTCTTTTGCGAACAACATGGCTGTCGGTCGTCAAGCCGTACCAGGCCGTCCTGCCGCGAGAGCAGCACCGCACCTTTGTAGAGCGAGCTTTGTAAGAACGATCGGCTGGGGCCAAAGCTCGGGTTGAGCCGGCCACGATCATCAAAAATGAGACAGATGCACGGGCTGGACCCTGTCCCTACTGGAGCGCAGGGAGGGTATGGGTCATCGAATATTACAACTTGGGGATGCAAATATGTATGATGCATATTTAACCAAAAAACAAACTCAACCTCGGTTGAAGTGATTAGTCTTGGTATACTTCATACATGTAGGTAGTCAGTACTGCCGGATGAGAATAGCCATACTCATGATAACAGTAACGATGGAAGCCAAACCAATAAGCATAACCACGCCCCTACCTTTCCTTGGTTGAACAGTAAGTTGCAAAGAACATCTAACTGATGACGATGAACATATCCATAACCCGAACCCTGGTTGGGCTCGTAGGGATAAGCATGCGACTTGTAAGTGTTTGAATGACACAACATTCCCTAAACCATGCTGGCAATTAGGGGCTAGTACTGCACCACACGGATTGCGCCACCTGGATTGCAGCATCTGGATTGCAACAAATCGCTGTTTGGAGTCCAAGCTGGCTAACTTGAGTGCAAGTATTACTGTAACCATAACCTCGACTACCATCCCGACGACAAAACAAATGTCTGGACCTGCTGCTTTAGATAATAAGATGAACAAACTCTTGTAATAACCATAACCATAATCTCTCTGTGTGCTAACACCGGCTCGGCATCAGAACTATAATAGCACCGAATAGCATACCAGAATAATGATCATCACCATCTTTTCCACGAGCAGGGTATCCACGACGACGAGGGTGACGACGACGCCAGCGACGATGTAGACGACGATGCGGCGACGGCACGACCCTGACGACAATCCACCCAGCAAGACATTCACGAGGGCGGCGACGACGACGACGGGGACGACGGGGACGACGACGACGACGCAGGCAACGACGACGACGACAACGAGGGACACGATGACGACGACAAGGAGAACGACAACGACGACGATGAAATTGAGCACGGCCCTAACAGGCGGGAATGCCCAAACGGCCGGATCGGGCGGGCGGACACTCACGGGCTGGAGGGTCGGTCGGGACATTCGTAGTAATGTGTAATCCATCCAGCCATCCGCGAGACCGACGACGACGCCGAGGACGACGAAAAGAAGGGAGACAACGACGACGACGACGACGACGACGACGACGACCCTAACGGGCGGGCGGGCCCGAACGGGCGGGTCGGGCGGGCGGACCCGAACGGGCAGGTCGGTCGAGCGGACCCTTACGGGCGGGCCCAGTCGGGCGGGACATTCAAGTAGTGTGCAACCCACCCAGCAAGACATCCGCGACGCCGACGACGACGACGACGACGACAGAGAGGGCAACAACGACGACGACAATGAGGGCGACGGCTGCCCTGACGGGCGGGTGGGCCCTAACAGGCGGATCGGGCGGGCGGAACCTAACGGGTGGGTCGGTCGGGCGGACCCTAGTTAGCAGGCGGGTCGGGCTGGCGGACCCTAGTGGGCGGGCAGGTCGGGTCGGGCGAGGCATCAACGCAGTGCGCAATCCATTCAGAAATTCACCCGCGAGGCCGACTATGACAACGACGACGCCCATGACGACGAAAAGGATGGCGACACCGACGGCGACGATGAAGGCGACGACGGCCCTACAGGCGGGCGGGCCCTAACGGGCGGGCGGGGTGGACCCAAACGGGCAGGCGGGTCGGGTCGGGACATTAAAGTCGTGCGCACTCCATCCAGCAAGACATCTGCGAGGCCGACGACGACGACGATGCCGACGAGGGCGACGACGCCGCGGACGACGACAAAGTGACGAAGACGACGAGGGCGCCGACGACGACAAACCGACGAAGACGACGAGGGAGACGACAACAGCGACGACGAAGACACGACGACGACGACGCCGACGCCGCCGACGACGACAGGGGCGACGTCGGCCCTGATGGGCGGGTCAGGCCAGCAAGCCCCCTCCCTCCACCGCCCGCGCGCGGGAGTCCTCCACATCCATCTCCTTTTCCTCCTCCTCATCCTCCTGCTGCTCCTCTTCCTCCTCCTTCTCCTCCTCCCCCTCCCTTCCGCCATCCCCAGGAAACATTGAGCTGGGGAGGTAGGAATTCGAATAGTTGTCATACTTCTAGATATGACCATAAGCATACCCTCAATCGCGGCTGCTGGCATGGTCATTACCTTCATAGAGATGGTACCACAACATTTGTAGGAATATAATAACTAGAACTGCATTCATAACCTGGATCTGTCAAATATGGTTTTACTCATCGAATGCGTACAACTTTAACCATGACAGCACTACTTTCCGAAGCCCACTGACTACTGCTTTACAACTCCAAACCAGAAATACAACTGTAACCGTAACCGTAACCCCAACCTGGCTTGTAGCAAGTACAACTACTATCATGGGCCATCGCCTCCGCAACGGTCGGAACTATATACTCACTCAATTCAAAGATCAGAGCTCCTGAAAACGATAACCTCAACCGCGGTTGGGGTTGTTGCTGTGGGGCAGCTGTATCCTCTCAGAAGAACTTCAAGCCCTCATGTTGAAACAATACTACGAGAGCCCAGAATCGAATATGCAAGTCGGATGGGCGATCGAAATGCATCGGATCGGCGGAAATCGGCAGCCGAAGTCGGGAAAAGTCGAATATCGGCGGACATCGGCAGGCTAGTATGCCTCCGGTGAGAAATCGGAGCCCAGATCGGAATCCCAGGTCGAATCGAATCGAAATCGGAAACCATCGAAGTCGATCAGAAGCCAGGCGAAGGCTGGTAAACCCGTGGCTGCTAAGACTGAGCTCCGGGAAATTCCCCAATCAGAGCTTGCCTCTGTAAGGGTCCTAGCGGGTTCACATAGTTAAATGAGGTGCGCCGCCGATTTCCGCCCGGGTGCCCGGGTGCCCTGGTGCCCTGGTGCCCGGGTGCCCGGGTGCCCAGGTGCCTGGCTGCCCTGTAACCCTACAGCCCTGTAGCCCTATGGCCCTATGGCCCTATAGCCCTACAGCCCTATAGCCTTATAGCCCTATAACCCCTATAGCCCTATAGCCCTATGGCCCTATATCCCTATAGCCTTATAGCCCTATAACCCTATAGCCCTATAGTCCTAAAGCCCTATAGACCAAGAGGCCAATAGCCCTATAGCCCTATGGCCCTTATACAGCCCTATAGCCCAATGGCCCTATAGCACCTTAGCCCTATAGCACCTTAGCCCTATAGCCTCATAACCTTATAACCCTATAGGCCTATAGCCCTGTAGCCCTATAGCCTCGTAGCCCTATAGACCTATAGCCCTATAGAACTATAGACCTATAGCCCAATAGCCCTATAGCCTTGTATAGCCCTATAGCCCAATCGCCCTATAGCACTATAGCGCCCTATAGTCCTATAACCCTATAGCCCTATAGTTATATATATATATGCCTATGATCCAATAGCCCTGTAGCCCTATGGTCCTATAGCAGCTCTGTAGCCCCATAGGCCTATAGCCCTAAAAACAATAGGATTGTTGTTTCTCCGGTATCATTGATGTTTTCTTCCGGGAAGCAGCCCGTTTACTATGTAGTGCGCTGAGTTCTATTCCGGGGATTTGTCTTCTTCCGGGATCACCGTTTCAGCAACCATGGATTTGCCAGCCCTCGCCCAGCTTCCGAGTCGAACCGCATCGAATCGGAGGAACCGAGGCGAGCTCTGCAGTACCCACGCCTGGCCCCGCTGTGGGCCCTGCGGTCCTCCCGGGTGCGCGGCCCTGGAATCAAGCAGGCCCAGGGCCGCCGGAGCTCGGGCCAAGCGAGCCACGCCCATGACACAGAAAAAAAGTGAGACAGATTCGCGTGCAGGACCCTGCCCTTGCTTCGGCGGCGAGCGAAGGGGGGAAGCGAGAGGGAGAAGGCCTGCTCAGCGGCTGTACTTCTGAGAAGCCCTCGCGCCTTCTGAGAAGTTGTCTGCGCGTCTTCGGGGAAGGCTCAGAACACTTCTCAGAAGTCTGGGGGACTTCCGAGCCTTCTGAGATGGCCCGCCCCTTCTCACTTCCCCCCCGGGCTCGACGCTGATTACTCTCTCTACACTCTACACGGGGCTGAGGAGTCCGCGGATAGCGCGGGAAGAAATAATATTCTGTGACATACGCGTGGATTGCGGTTCAGGTCGCGGCGACTCGCGCGTTGACCTCTGACACCGCGTGGATTGCTCAACCTTGAGCGATCGTGGCTTCCTGACAACCGAGGTCGTTCAATCTTGGCCGAGATCAGGGCCCTGGTGGTCTTAAACCTTGAACGCCCGCGCCGACGTCGCGACGCATCGACGCGGCACGAACCCATGGTAAGCATGAGACTGCCCCGCTAAACTTTTGTTCAAGGCGAGCCTAGCGCAGAACCACGCCCAATCTGGCTATTGAAAATGTCTGGAATAACCGCGACGGCCAAGCCAATCCCCAGCCAACGCACGAAAAACGCACTGGCCTGCGGCCCGCGCAAGCTGGCGCGTGGGAAAGGCACCGCCTCATCGCCCGCTGGCGCGCGTGGCCCGCACCCGCACGCGCGCCGACAGCCTCCCTCGAGAAGGGCTCCGTGCGGTTCACGGCCCGGCAGACCCCATGCGCCAGCTGGTGCTCCAAGACGTGGTGTAGTGGAAATCCTTCGGAGCATCTATAAGACGACGCCAGAACGAGGATAAAACCGAGTGAGGACAAATCGAGAATCTCTGAGATCCGGCGGCTCTGGAGGATGTCTCGGGCGCCGCGGCCTTCTCAGAGCGTTCCAAAACGCTCTGAGAGCGATCCAGAACGCTCTGGAACGGATTTGTCCTGCCCCGTCCGAGCATCGTTCCACCGACGCCCTATCCCTACTGGCGAGGCCCGAGCCCCGCTGGCCGGTGTGCCCCCCCCCCCCCAGGAGGGAACACAGGCTGTTCCCTGCGGGCCTCGAGGGGCCTGCCCCCAGCTGGGGTGGTGGCATGGCGGGCCTGCTGAGGGTGGCAGGGCTGAGATACCAAATGCCATGGCCCGGTGGGGATGGCAGGGGGCGACACCCCCCAAACAGTTCGGGGCCCCCAGACTACAGGCTCTCCCCGGACTGCCTCTCCACGGACTGCAGGTACCCCTGCCCCCGGACTACAGGCCCCCCCCCGGGTTACAAGTTCCCCCCTGGACTACAGATATATCCCCTCCCAGACTACAGATACACCCCCGGACTACATCCACGCGTGCGTTGACGCGTGACCACGCGTTCCCCCCCAGACTGCAGGTACCACCCGGGCCACCCCTGGACTACCTTCCCCTGGACTACAAGTACCCCTCCCAAATTACAGGCACCCCTCCCCCGGACGTACCCTTCCCGGACTACAGGAACCCCCAGAACTATTGAGGGACACAGAGTAACCCCACAAACTGTCGATTCTCCTGACTCGATGGGAGGCGGAGGTTGGGCTCGGATTTCGCGACGCGTTCGACGAATTCCAAACCCTGCCCCCACCGCGTTGCCCGAATCATTGATCGGCGAGGGTAGGGCTCGGATTGGGTCGCCGATGCGGGGCTGGGTTCAACGATACATTCAAAACGTAAGGGTGCCCTTGGGAAGTAAATTACCCTTACTATCATTAGGTCGGGCGTGTCCCCCTACAGGGGGAATATGGACGAAAAATTAAAGGTACTCAGAAAACACTCCTCAAATACTTGAAAATAGTCCAGAAATCCTCCCCAGACTATTTTTGAAACTATTCTTGAATTTTCTCCCCGTAGAGGGACAGGCCCGACTGAACACTCTCGGCGTTGGCTGCCCGGGTCCTTCTGGAAGTCCCACTCGCTCTCGCGGCCTCTTCCTGCGGCCTCCGGCGCCGCCGCGGGCAAGCCGGCGCTGCCCCCCGTGGGCCGCCGGCGGGCACGCCCGGTGCGCCTGGGCGCTGCGTCCTGTAGGAAGACGCCAGCTTCAAGTCGGGCCTGTCCCTCTGCAGGAGGAATATTCAAGAATAGTCGAAGACTAGTCTGGGGGACGATTGCTTGACTATGTTTGACTATCTGTGAGCATTCCTGGAGCATTTGTCATTTTGCTCCCAAAATCCGCCTGTAGGGGGACACGCCCGACCTAACGCCAGCGATACACCCACACCGATCCTGGCCAGGCCGATCCTGGGCCCAGGATCGGTGTATGATGCCCTTCCTGCCCAAGCCAAGAGGGCGTAAGAACCCGTCCAGGGCCCAGGACCGGCCTGGCCAGCATCCGGTTGGGTGCACAGCCCGTGCCCGTCGATCCTGCAGATCGTACAGGCACTCGTGGTCGAAGTCCAGCTCCAGGTCGCTCCCAGGCAGCCCCTCCTCTGAGGGGCAACGATGGGGGGTACTGGCACCGGGGGGGGCAACGTCGACCTGGAATCGGCCATGCATCGCCGATAGATCGGCGACAGGCTTCCCATCGTGAGTCCGCCAGCGGGACCACCGGGCCCCTCTCGGCGATCCATGGGCGATCCGGGGCCCATGCCTCCCCCCTGTCGCCCATGCCCCGCCCTGTGTCCTATTGCCCCCCGCTCCTCCCCGTGCGGCGCCGCCTCCTCCCCGCGGCGTGGCGCGCCCCGCGCCGGCGCGGGGGCGCGCCCCGCGCTGGCGGGCCCCGGGCCCGGGGAAGCGGACCGCGGCGGACCGCCCGCGCCGGCGTCGGCCTCGTGGCCCCGGCGCCCGCGCGCTCGCGCGCGCACCTCCCCGCCCCCCGCCGCGGCGCCCCGGGAGCCCGGGGCCCGGGCTCCGCCCGCTCCGCCGTCCGCCTCGTGCACGCCGGCGCGGGCCAGGAACGTCGCGGCCGCCGGCGCGGGCGCGGCCCTGGCCATCGCGGCGAAGGGCGCGGGCGGGCAGCGCTCGGCGCTCGGCTGGCGGGCGGGCAGTCCCGGGTCAAAAAGCTGGAGGACGTCCTCCTCCTCCTGCTCCTCCTCTTCCTCCTCCGCCGTTTCCTCCCCTCCAACTCCTCCACCGCCTCCTCCTCTTCCACCGCCTCCTCCTCCTCCTCCTCCTCCTCCTCCTCCTCGTCCTCCTTGCTCTTCCCCTCCTCCTCCTCTCCTCCTCCATCCTCCTCATCATCCTCATCCTCATCCTCATCCTCATCCTCATCCTCATCCTCATCCTCATCCTCATCCTCATCCTCATCCTCATCCTCATCCTCATCCTCATCCTCATCATCATCATCATCATTTGCAGCAGCAGCAGCATCAGCATCACCATCACAATCATCATCACAAGCATCATCACCATCACCATCACCATCACCATCACCATCACCATCACCATCACCACCATCATCATCATCATCATCATCAGCATCAGCATCAGCATAAGCATAAGCATAAGCATCAGCATCAGCATCAGCATCAGCATCAGCATCAGCATCATCATCATCATCAGCATCAGCATCAGCATCAGCATCAGCATCAGCATCAGCATCATCCTCAGCCTCAGCCTCAGCCTCATCGTCATCGTCATCATCATCATCATCATCATCATCATCATCATCATCATCATCATCATCATCATCATCATCATCATCATCATCATCCGCCTCCTCCTCTTCTGCCTCATCATCTGGCTTCAAGGCTCAGCTGGTATGTGGTAATCCTAGGCCTGGAGGGCTGAATATAGGTCGCTGTTCGCTCTCGCACATCTCGGTCGTTACCCAAAGGGGAGATGTGCCGCGGGTAACGGCAACGCCTGGATTGGCTGGGGCAGGGGCCGACAGGGAAGCAGAACCGTGAGTAGGACATGGCTGTACACGTGCATACAAGCTAACACAAACGCAGGAGCATCCGCACGCGCGCGCGCACGGGCAAACACACGCACGGGCAAATCACAGGCCTGCGACCACCACAACCACCCGCGCGCCTCACACAACCACACACGCACACACGTACACACACACACACATGCACACACGCACACACGCACACACGCACACACACACACACGCTCTCGATGCCCAAAGCCTACACTACAGTGGGCCGTGAGCACCACAACAGCCTGCGAGCACCGAAGCGTGCGCCCGTGAGCGCCACAAGGTGCTTGCGACCGCCGCACGGCGAGGGACACTGGCCCATGCCAATACCGCAACAGCCTACGATCACCTCGGCATTCACGCCTGTACAGGCGTAAAGGTAACACAATGACCTGCGAATACCAAAACGAGTCTCCGAGAACCGCAAAAACAGCTTGCCTTACCTCCCTCCACCTCCATCGTCATCGTCCTCCTTGTCCTCCGCCTCCTCCATCCCTCTTCCTTGTAAGCAACTCCTGTCTATTCCATGGCACCTCCAGATCTGTCGGTGGGGCGGGCTGGGTGCTGCACCTGAGACTTCCTCGCCACTTGTGATCCCGAGGCTTTACGGATTGAGGGCGGGCGGTTTCCAAAATGTGGCTGTGGCCGTGCCGCCGCGCACACTCGTCTTAAGCATTTGCAGTCGTTTCGAAGATGGAGGCCGGCTCGTGCTCCAAATGTCGCTCTCGCCTCAGCGCCGCGCACGTTTGCCGTAAAAGTCCCACCAGCCCTTCGGGCGACAGGTGGTCTAAGGGTGATCTCGTTTTTCTTCCACGACCACACTTCCCTTCGGGGAGGGGAACCCTGCCCCTCCCCTCCCTGGGGTTTTTTGGGAGGGGGACCGCTGTGTCAGAGGGTCCTTTTTCGGCCAGTGGGAGGGCTGATGTTCGACACCCCTCACTAGGATCGTGGCCCCCGAGGGGGGGCAGACATCGAGGACCTCCCTCTTTTGACCGACCGCCTCGAAGATGGCCCCAAGAGGCCCTCCTGGGCTCCCAAGAGGCCTCCAAGAGAGCCCCAAGAGCGCCCCAAGAGGCCCCAAGAGGCCTCCAATTGGCACCCGAGAGGCACCGAAGAGGCCCCCTGAGCGGCCCCCGAAGAGGCCCAAGAAGCTCACCCGAGGCACGCAAGACGCAGTCTCGTCCTCGTCCTTCTCCTCGTCCTCCTCGTCCTCGTCCTCGTCCCCCTCCTCGTCCTCATCCTCGTCGACCTCCTCCCCCTCCTCCTTCTCCTCATCCTCCTACTCCTCCTCCTACTCCTCCTCCTCCTCCTCTTCCTCCTGTTGTTCCTCCTCCTCCTCATCCTCCTCCTCCTCTCGTTCTCGTCCATATCCTTCGTCCTCGTCCTCGTCATTTTCCTCCTCCTCCTTCTCCTCCTCCTCCTCCTCGTCCTCGTCCTCCTCTTCCTCCTGTTCCTCCTCCTGTTCCCTCCTCCTCCTCCTCCTCCTCCTCCTCCTCCTCCTCCTCCTCCTCCACCTTTCGTTCTCGTCCATATCCTTCGTCCTCGTCCTCGTCATTTTCCTCCTGCTCCTCCTCCTCCCTCCTCCTCCTCCTCCTCCTCTCTCCTCCTCCTCCCTCTCCCCTCCTCCTCCTCCTCCTCCGCGATCTCATCCTCCCCCGTTTCCTCGTCCTCTTCCTCCTCCTCCTCCTCCTCCTCCTCCTCCTCCTCCTCCTCCTCCTCCTCCCCCTCCCCTGCCTCCTCCTCATCCTCCTCACTCTCTTAGTCCTCGTCCTCCTCATCCTTGTTCTCTTCCTCCTCGTCTTGCTCCTCTTGACTCCTGCCTCCTCTTTCTCCTTCTCCTCCTCCTCCTCCTCTTCGCCCCCCCCTGCCCCCCCCACGCAGGCCCGGACCGGAGATGGCCCAAACACGCCGTCCAGGCGGGCCTCTCTCGCTGTCTCTTCCTCTCTTCCTCTCTCACTCCGTCAACTCTCATGGGCTTCGTTTCTGGATGGGCTGGTTGGGATACGCGAAGCGTCAAGAATTCCAACAGCTTCAAGGATGGAGGACGGTTCATTTTCAAAACGTGGCTCTCGCCTTCGCGCCGCGCGCATTCATCTTCGAGGTTTGCAGCAGCTTCCAGGATTCATATAGTCAAAGTTCCAGCACATGTGTCCTGACACTATTTAGAATTGCCAGGGCATTACAGTCAAGTTGATTCGCGGTGTTGAAAGTTTAGACACGGCGTCCTGGCGTGATGTCAGACTGTCAAGACGCACCCTTCACGTTGATCCGCGGCGCTGTAGTCCCAGGAACTGCGTTTTGGCACGATTCAAGATTCTCAGACAATTGTCTTCTAATGGGCCACTTCCCGCAGTGAAAATCAATTCCTTTAGGGACCTATGAAGAGGGATCTTGAAGGGACGGAGTATTGCAACATGGTTCATGCGTCTGGGGTTTACAAGGATCGTCCTCCTCCTCTTCCTCCTCCTCCTCCTCCTCCGTCGTGCTCCCCATCCTCCGCCTCCACATCCTCCTCCATCTTCCTTCCTTATGCGGCACCGTACGGTAGGTTCGTGCGACGTCGGCACGCGAAGGTCTTTGACACCGCGTCGATCGTTCAACCTTGAATCGATCGCGGCACCGATTGTTCAAGGTTGAATTCCGTCGTGTGCAGTGGCGTCACCGTGTCCATCGGTGCTTCAGCGTCGCAGAATTCAACCTCGAACGCCTTCGCCAGCGTCACCGGAGCGCCATCGCCGCATGAACATACCGTACCTCCTGACTCATTCGTAGTCGTCTTAGGTCGGGCATGTCCCCCTACAGGCGGATTTTGGACGAAAAATTAAAACTAGTAAACAAATATTCTAAAAACATACAAATACAAAAACACTCAAGAAATCGTCCCCAGACTATTTTTTGAATATGTTTGAATATTCCTCCTGCGGAGGGACACTCCCGACGTAATCGTCGTCCTCATCCACCTCTTGCTCCCCCCTCCCGACCGCCACAAACTGCCCGTGAGAGCACCACAGTGCGCCTGCGACCACTCGAAGGCGAGGGAAGCCGGGCCCCGGCACATCCACAACAGCACACTGGAACAGAGTGGGGGGCAGCCATAGACGCGAGTGCAGATGTCCGCGAGTGCCACCAGTGAACCTACCAGTGCTATTAGCCTGCGAGTTCGGCTGGGCCTGGGACAAAAAAACATCCTTCAAGAACATGGGACCCTCCGCCGGCCAAAGCACACAGAACATCCAAGAGTACCCTTCCCAGGATGCACAAGAACATCCCACAAGCACGAAGAACACGAGGATACCCTCCCCGAGCCGACCTCGGTCTTATACCTCGGGCCGACCGTACCAGGACACCCCTGTGAGCACCAGTCTGCCTGTGAGCACCTGCGGGCACCACAGCACGCCTGTATCACAACACGCCTGTCGGGCGTTTGGGTGGTCTGGCCGCCCCCCCGCCCGCATGATCTTTACCGTTGCACGGGGGGAGGAGGGGCAGGGGCGGGCGGGTAGCGAGCGTCACGCGCCCTCCAGAAACAGTTCGTAATCGGCCGGGCTGCCCAAAAAGGCGC